ATTAAGTTTATTTATAGGCAGCAGCCGTAGAGCTTGCTTCAATTCAAGGAGAGGGGATGCGAATCCCTCGTGACTGGAATGTTGAAACATGTATTATGAGTGAATTATTTATTTGGAAGACAATTAGACATCTAGAAGCCTTGAAAATTTGGGTGTTTTAAGGGTTCATTTGGATTTTAGTAATAAACTTGGGGGACCCAGCTGATGCATGGGATTTATTAAGCAAAAACTAAATAATAGAAAGTCATTTACTAAAATATCCCTTATAGTTTCATGGATTTACTAAAATATATCATATAGTTCAAATTTTACTAAAACACCACTTATAATTTACAACGGATTTAATTAATCTTCAACTAGATGATAGTAAAAAATGACAGTGTTGACCTTAATGTTCATTTAAATAAATTTAATCAGAAGAAAATAACAATATAAATACCATTTTTTCCCTTAATAAGATACGGGCAACCATTTTATTGGCTATATTTAGTCAATTTTGTTTTCTGTACAAAAAAAGTGTTAAGGGTATATTTGGAATAAAAATTATGGTCCTAATGGCAAAACAAACACTCCTTAATGAAATGTTGATTAAGTAAATAAGTTACAAAATATATGTGATGTTTTGGTAAAATGAAAACTATAAGGTACGCTTAAGTAAATATTTAAAACTATAAGGTGTGTAGTAAAGGCAACGGGATAAGGAACATATTCCCTGTCCTCGACCTCGATTATGAAATTAACCCTAGTCCCTGATCCCTGATGGGGATGGATTCCCTGTGGGGACCCGAATCTCCAAAATGTTTTCAGATAATAGTATTTTTTTAAATAAATAAAAAATTAAATTATAAATAATGTTTTAAATATAATTGGGGTTGAGGCAGGGTGGGGACCTAAATCCCTGTCCCCATTCCTAGCCCTAATCCCGACCTTGACCCCAACCGGGGATTCCTATTAATCCGTGTCCTCGCCCTCACCCTACCAAAACAATCTTCATCCCCGCCCCATTGGGTTGGGGAAGTTAGGTCCCTCTCTTGAATGGGGAAAATTGCCATCCCTAAAGGTGTTTTCTAGTAAATGAACCTAATAGAAACATATAAGAGTATACAATTGTTTTATATTTTATTTTTAAATAATTAATAATTATTCATATTTTATATAGTACTTTTAATAAAATTTTTATAATACAAAAATAACAATAATTAATTTTAGTTAGTTTTATTTATCAAACTGATGAAACCGACTAACCTTAATAACTCGACCTGAGTTGGTTGGTTAAAAAATAACAATAATTAATTTCAGTCAGGTCGAGTTAATCAGGTTGGTCGGTTAGGTCGAATTAGGTATACAATTCAACCAAGTTGGATCAGTTTCACTTTGGCCATTTCTAAACCGATCAAAATCGAACAACTTAACCATGGGTATATATATATATATATTAATATTTTATATTTTAAATATGGAAAAGTGGGAAAATTCCCATATTTATTTGTCTAAAATGTTTTATATCATAAACCTAATTTTTAAATTTATTTTTTAATAATTGCACTATAATTTTTAAGTGGGTCGATTTTCATAAAAGGTTAGTTGGTTTCAACTGACCAACTCCCTAACCTAACCACATCAATTTGGTTGGCCAAATAGCCTACGATCAAACCAAACAAAATCATGAACACTCATAATTTCAACTAAAATAATAGCCTCATCTCTGATAAATAACAATGGTTTAATCTCAAAAAATTATTGAAAATTTATAACGAAAATATACAATTATTGAAAATATATTGATAATGAAAAATACAATAATTATAGAAATTACAAAAATACAATAAGTACTAAAAATATATTAACTTAGTCAATAAATAGTATAATTTGAAATAATAGTTTAATCTGTAATAAATATTAGTCAATAACTTATAATAAAAATACAATAAGTACAATAAAAATTTGGATATTAAATTATTACTCGGCCTAAAATACAGAATACCTATTAAAAATTTTCCTAATTTAAAATTTTGAAAATAAATATTTTTTTATGCCAATACTTGCCCTTAACTTCACATCTAGGAAATGAAAGTTAAATCAGTACATTATGATAGTACATGATATAATGTTAATGCTAGGTGAAGGGTAGTTATCTAAATATTATTATCTTTAGATTTAATCACTGAATTAAAGCATCTAAAGGCTTCAAAAAATAAAAAATTTAAAGAAATATAGTAAAAAATGTTTTCAAAATCATAATATTTTTCATCTTTAATTTAAAGTCAAAGGGTTCGAGTCTAACAACATTGATTAGCAGGGATGTGTGCCCACATAAGTCCACAATTTCGGCTTAAAAACATATCCAAAGAAAATAAATTCCAAGAAAGAGGATAGCGATCAGCTTTTTGTTTTTGTCTAAGCATATATAGCGTATTGTGCAAGGCATTGCAAATAAGGACACAAAGTGTTGAAAATCATGAAAGAATAATGTTGTTAAGTCAGGACTTTGAATCACTGGCTACCGTCTGTTACAGAGAAAATAAATTTTAATTCAAAATAAAAACATATTTAAAATGTTGTTGTTTCTACATTGAAAATCAAACCTAATTTAGTCGACATCTTTTTTCTTCGAAAGCCCAAAGGCTAAACCCATTCATTCAAAGGGTCCAACGAAGATATATAAGGTGGAGACAATAACCTCGGTGATAAGGGTGTCAATGGACCGGTTTTGGATTAGATGTTGTCCAGTCTAAAATCAATTTTGATGGATTGAATGGACCAATAAGACATATTAGATTGGATTAATCTGCTCCAAACCATTTATTATATTGGATTGGACATGATTCGTCTGTAACAAATTTATATTGGATTGGGTTGGAGTCGGCCAATATCTGATCTATTGATATAAGATAAGAATATATGTGTCAATCGATCGGGTTTGGGTTGAAAGTAATCTAAATCAAATGATTTTAAACAAATTGGATAGTCTAGACATTGAATTGGACTAGTCCAAATTGGACCAAAACATTCATTGGACTGGATGGAACCTGATCCATTTATATAATGGACTCACATTGGACGAGATCGGATTGGACCAAATCCAGTCCAATTGACACCCCTACTGGGTGATAGGAGGTGTATACCATTGTACAGGGTACGCTTGCAATAAATGCTCCTCTATATTAGTGATCGGCCAAATGTTATGATAATGTCATTGCCGAGGCCGAAGTGGCGAGAATACCCTCGTGAGATTCCATGTGTCACCATTTGGTGGGCCAATCAAATATACACATATGACTTGCCCCCACTCGATGCCGACTTGCCGAGGCCAAGGCCGAAGCCAATGGGGCTTATAGGGCAATGCAGTCAATTCATGCCGGGCCCCTCGTAAAGGACTATGATACTTCTAGGGTGGACGGGGTAATGTAGTCGACAATTCGTTGTCCGTCTATGATTAGAAGAAAAAATTTTTCTCTATACGATGTCCTGAGAGTTGGTCCTTCCGATTCAATTGGAGGGACCCAAATCGGGCCAGATGCAGTGGCCAAAAGGATGGCATGAAGCTGCAATGTTGAGGAGTCGGCAATGTTGAATCGGCTTCGGTTAAGCAAGACGATTCATGCCAGATCCCTAGTAAAGAAAGAGGCCTTGGTAAAGGCCACCCTTAGTCCTGCCCCATTTGGTAGGAACATTCCCATTGTCTATAATTTTGGGCTCCTTTTGCATTCTACATATTTATATTTATACTCTTTCTAAAATTGAGCCTACAAATGCAAATATAAATGGTATAAATACATACAAATAATATAAAACAGGATTTTGCACTCTACATATTTGCATTTTTACTCCTTCCAAACTGAGCCTACATATTTATATCTCTACTCTTTCAAAAGTAAGCCTTAAGGAATTGGCGTCATGATGGACATGAGTAGGGCAATAACCGGGATCGGATTCATCAACATTCAAATTTGAGCTTATTAATGTAAACTTGAATCCAAATCCAAAGAAAATAGGATCCTATCAGACCTAGATCATATTCAGATTCCAGCTCTACTTCATTTATGAAAATAAATGAAAAATAAAAATTTATTACTTTTTAACAATATATAATAAATTAATATATATATCATATATTTTTATATTTTATATATTAAAATCAATAAATAATTAAATTTGTATTTTAATCGAATAATTGAATTGAATGCCAAATCGGATTCTAGAGTTTCAAAGTTTATTGACAACCCTTGACGTGATTAAAAAAAAAGATTGGAAATAATGGATGGACCTTCTCGCATATAAGGGTGTATTTTGTAGTATGAATGAAAAATTGAGTGGTGTAAACCGGTCCACACCACACCACAATTCCCAACTATTCTGAACTGTGGGCAAACTATGTGGATTAAAACAGCCCACATCCATAGTGGTGTAGACCAGTCCATGTCACAATTTTTTATTCCATGTATCACATATACAATTTATGAAGTAATCTACACAGTCAATCATAAATGTCTAATTTTTATAATTTATATGAAAAATAAAAGGCTTTGACAATTGAATATTAGTTTCAACAAACACTACAAGAAAATCAGTCAAAGCCGACGGTCATTGGGCATTAAGACTGCCGCCTTAGATCTAAGGCGACGGTCTTAAGGCTGCCCCCTAAACCACTATCGAGTTAGGTCAAGACTGCGAGCTTAGAGAGAAAAAACTGCCGCCCTTGAAGACCGGTCTAAACCATTTCAATTTACTCTAAAGCATAGGTCCTATTTGACTGCCACCTTAGGTTTATCAATTCGTTGCTTCAATTTTTAGGTGGCGGTCCAGACCGCCGGCAGAGGTCCTATTTGATCACTATCTTATATCTTGTTCATGGCTAAACCGACGGTTACGTGACCACTAGCTTTGATATATTTTCTTAATTTTTATTTTATTTTAATTACATGACAAATCTCATTTTAATACCTATTCAATACAAATCTCATGACAATTGATGCAGAAAAAACAATTTAAAAATGCAATTAAAAACAAAATCTATTAGTTAAATTATTAATTATTATAATATCCAAAACAAATTGTTTAAATACAATATCCAATTGACCTAAAAGTACAAGGAATTTAAAAAGATCAATTTCCCTAATAATGTAACACGTCTTCCAATGCAAATCCACTTAACATAATGGTTGAACCTGCAAATCATACCATATAGATTGTTTTAGAATGTAAAGTAAATGATATATCAATAAAAAATGTATAAAATAGAGAATTAATGGTGTAAGTCAAGATATCACCTTTGCAAAGATAAACCTGCAGTTCTTTGCAAAGAGTAAAAACATGAGATTTCCATCAGTCAACCACCAAGTTTGTTTCAAAAACTTTTGTTCTATTTGGTTTTCCTTATTGATACATACCGTTAATTGTTACTCAGAAACATTTGACAGATGAAAGGGGTCCGACCAATCTAACCATGGAGAGACCTGGGTTCTACCTATATGTTAATTATTACCCCAAAACTGTACACATCAGATCTGAAAGATTCCACATGAAAAAGAATAAATCAATATTTGTTCAGATCTTATCTTTAAGAAAAATAAAATTATAACAAAACAATCAAATCAATGATGCAAGGTTCCTTACTTCTATCTGGAAGGCTCATTGAGGAGAACTTTCGGGGAGTTACTGGACCGAATGTGATATTAGTACAACACTCCTCAACAAATCCCTTGTGTGCTGCAGAAATAGAAAATGATCAAAACAGGCAGAACAAGAAATAACTAACTGGTGGCTCCCTTCAATGCCTTCATGTAACCAACAGATATGTTTTGGTTGTTAAAACATAACTAAACTCCTTGGATTAACTAAGAAGCAGATACAAAGAGATATTTATGTCTTTTATCATAAAGTTCAATTCACTTGGAAACATAAAACATCACAAACAAGGATTAACAGACCCAACTCCCTCCAAACTTGATTTACGAATATCTAACATTTGTTTTGTTTTACAAACCCGCAAGTATTAACAAAACAGTGTTTATTTGAGAAAATTTTAATAATATTGCTTCAAAGCAATGTCTGTTTTTTACATTTAGGACGGAAGACGAAGCTGTGATTTTGATCTTAGAATTTTCTCACTGTCTTTGTATGTATAGATTACAAATTACTGTTGAAAGCGTCGATTCTGTTAATTTTGAATTGCCCCTTGCTGATTGAAAAATAAAGGAACAACACTCACCATACATGATTAATTATATCCAAAAGTCATGGCTGCAACTTTTTGGCTGACTTATGATCAATCAACCCCAGCAAAACTCAAAAGGTTTGTTCTCAATGCAAAACTCAGGCAATCATTAACTGCTATCCATATTCAAGATGCATGACATTCAACCACCTGCATCAATCAGAAGCTTGAGATTGCTTGGGGAGTTACAGAAGGATTTTCAGCTGCGAAATGATGACTGGTTATCAAAGGGTAACTCTACAGGTGTTGCATCCAGGTTGTAGAAAGCTCGCTGTTGGGGAATTCTTTATGTGGACAACTACATCACCTGTCAAGAAACAAGTTATCACTGATTGTTATTTGAAATAAAAATGCTCCAACTTCAATAAAAATGCAAAATAGTTTTAAAAGGAACATGTGAAGAATATTGTGAAGATGGTTTGCCGGAATAAGCATGAAAAGGCAAGATTAGGTTATCAATAAGATTACAGGTCCCAAAGCATGATAAAACAGGGTTTCAACATGAGAAACTTCTCTAAAGTTTCAACTTTATTTTATTCAACAAGATTTTCCCAAGAAAAAAAAAGAATTCAAACTTCTTCTAATGTTAACAGCATATATGGTATCCCCATCTCAAATTTCTTCTGCACTGAAGGACCATCAAGAGCTATTAAGCACTCAACTCAAGTAGGAAAATAAGACTAACCAGCAACACTCAGGTTTGATGGAAGGAGTTCTAAAGCTTCTGAACTCCAATCCTTCATATGTACACTGAAATTGGAGAACTCATGCGGTCTTGGTATCCCCACTCTGAGGGAAAACCTTCTTGGTTTCAAACATTAATGACCGGGTTGATCATCATCCAGCCTTAATAACCAAGCTTCCACAATGCAGTCCTGCATGGCTGCGTCTAGAAACTGACAATCATCAACAGAAGTTTAATCCAAGAGATGCCCCCTCTACAGTTATAATATTGAATCTGCTGAAGGCATACTAGCTCTCGGATGCAACAGAATTGCAATGTTACCAAAGGTGATTTGGCTGTGTCAAGAATTCATAGCATGAGTTATAGTTCAGTTTACAGTTTTTCATCGCCAGTGCCAGGAAATAAGAAATTAGAGCACTTGCCAAAATCCAATACAGTCCACGAGTTGGATTTAGTGTCACCTGATGGGACTTTTCTATATTGTTTCTCAGCTAGATCTCTTATTTTGAACCTACATATTAAAATCAAAGTGGAAAAAGGTGATGCATATATAAGTTATCCGTAACTCCTACCAATGATTAAGTTATCATTCTTATACACATAAGACTTCAACCACATACCCAATAGCATCAATCTGAGGGCGTGAAAAGGCTGTGGCAATGATAAAAAACCAAGTCCAATAAACTAGAGGCTTCACAAAGAGAACACGGATATCTGCACCCTTTACTTCGCTTGCAACCTTGGCCAGAGCCACAACAGCTACGCGAATAGCAGAGAAAAAAAAGTAAACTCTATCCTTTAAGTCCACCAAATTGCTAAATATATGAGTTTTCTTTAATAAGAATAGGTTCATGAAATTGTAGAAAGCTGATGAAATAGGAGATTTCTTCCACATTTCATGAAAGTGTCAAACTCTTCCTCTTATGTAGAATGTGTAGGGTCTTCATAGTTTGAAAATGGAACCACTCCCTGGCGGGTTGTTGCTAAGATTTTTGAAAACTTGAAAAAAGGGAAAGAAAACTCATATCGGGTGACCCAAGAATGGGTACAACAGTTTTAGGTCCCCAAAATCATTGCTAAAATAATGCAAATTACTGGTCAGTTATAACGGGTTCAAACAAGTTTGAGGTCTGAGACACAAATATACAAACATGACAGGTTCTCAGCATCGTCGTCGGCTTCTGCACCAGGTGTTTTTCTATCGTTTCTTTTGTAAACCACCTTCCCATACAAGTCCAACAATCCGTCGAACATATCGTCTGTGTCTCCACTAACACTCTGCAAAAATGCAACAGACCAACTTATTATCGTGAATCAGAGCCAATGACGTTATTGAAGCAACAGAAATAGCTTTCTTAGCATTGAAAAGATGCATAAGATCAATATCATAGATTCCAATTACCGAATGAATGGTAAAGGAGAAAAACTTACGTCATTGGGTCTGTTGTGGGTGTATGGGAGAAGGAACGAAGCAAGGCGGGCGTGTGAAAATGGTAAAGATGGCTTTGTATTCTTTCTCTTAATGGAGGAGAAATTCATGGATTGAGTTGCTGTTTCGACTATAGGGCGGACAAGGACAGTAGGAGGAAGGGGGATGACAGAAGAGGGAGTTAGAGAACAGGGATCCAGCAACGCATGCATTTTTTATAACAATGCAGTTTTAGAGAGAGAGAGAGAGAGAGAGAGGGAACGAAGAGAATGAAAAAGGAAGAGGAATAGCAAAAAATAGAGAACCAGTCTGCTTGGAGAAGATGTAAAGAATCAATCATTCGTCCAAGAGGAGATTTGGCTTTTCGCGTGATAGTCTTTGGGCGCCAAACCTAAAATAGCGACCACTTTCTTTTGTCCACCAAATATGCGAGGGTAAAAATCGATTAGAGAAAAAGTGAAGAAGAATAAGATTTTGGATAGATAGATCTTACCCTTCACCGCTGCAATTATTTTTAGAGCGAAGAAGAAGAAGAAGAAGAAGAAGAAGAAGAAGATTTTGAGAGGGAAAGAGATCGATCTTACCTATTTTCAGAGAGAGAGAGAGAGAATGAGAGATTGATCGTTCCCTTCGTCAAAACTAGGCAACACGAATTTTGTCGAATGCGGGAGTCCAGAGATCTTATGGAGTTTAGATCTCGCGAGTTATTTAAACCGGATAAAATCCGGTTCAAGCATAAAATCCGGCGTGCGAGTTATAAAGACCGCTGCTCAAGTTTTATTTTAATTTTCTTGGTACGTTAACTTTCTTTATAGCTTAGATCATTTTTCTTGTAGTGAAAAATGGTAATAAAATAATTTAAAAAAATAAAAAATATTATTTTTATCTTTTATTTACCCTTCAGCCAAGTGTTAGTTTTTAAGTATTTAATTTGCATATGTTAATACATTTTCCCTAATGTTTCTCCTGCATCTTAGAAATTCTAATGAAACTTCTCATTTTGAAGAATTAAAATTTTTCCTAAAATGGAAATTCCTCACCTTGTCAACCACAACTCATGTTGGATCTCACCTAAGTGGTGTAAGTGGCAGAAGTCCTATTTGTCCATTGGGCACAATGTAGGGACATATCTTCTATTAAATAATGAAAACAAAACACAACATCTATCAATTTTTTTTTCTCACTTCTAAAATCCAGATTTTTCTTAGCCTTCCCTAACCTTATTCATAATGCCAATCACCTTTTTTTCTCATTTCAAGGAAAAACAACATCTATCCATAGACCATGTGGACAACATGAAGACAATTGCAGTTGTTCTTTGATTATTCTTTCAAAACGTAAAGCTTCTCTGCTAATGTGATGAATCATGCTTGGTGATCCATGTTACAAATCTTTATATTGTAGGGTTGTCCTTCGAATAAGAGTTCTCTTCAAAGGATTTGATACCGACTTTTGGAATTGGAAAGGTGTTATTGTTTGTGCCTCTAGATGAAATGGTTTTAGAACTTGGAGACTCAAAGTTGTATTTCGGTGGGGGTGTTCGGGAGAAAAACCACAAGAGAAGATGAAGAATTGGAAAGAAAAAGAAATGGCGGTGGAAAAAGAGGGAGTAATACCACCGAAATCAATATCAACAACAGAAACAAAAGAAAAAGAAATAGCGAATAAAGCCTGGAGGAGCACTTCAGTGGTGGAGAGGTTAATGGTAAAATGCAGGGTTTCGATTGTGAATGTGAAACATAATACCAAAAATAAATTGTGGATAGGGCTCTTTCATGGCAAATACCCGTTGCTGCTGATATTTTAGAGTGTGGACAGAGCTGGTCTACGATATAGTATGAACTAATCCCATCCATGCCCAACTGAACTGCATATTCATCCCATGGCATGAACCAAACGGTCCAACCACGAGATGAATACACTACCGAACACTGCCAAAATTCTCCGCCAATAGAACAACCGAATCTCCTTCGATGATAATACCATTGAAAATTTGAAATCAAGTGATTGGTGAAGTCTGAAGCCATATTGTTCACATTATTTTAATTGAGTTTGGATCATTTAACCATAAAGCGCTGGTCACATCTGGTGCACAAGACACCATAGTCACACAGGATCTTGTAGCAAGAAGATTCACAGTCTCTTTAGCAAATTAAACAAAAGAAAAAGAAGAATAAGAAAAACAATCTAGTAACTTCCAAGACTTATCGGGGACAGGATGATGAACTGAAGACACATCATACACTTATAGTTTGTTTGGTTGCTACGACACAAATGAGAAATAAAGAATATTCGGGTTAGGTTCTTTGAAACTCGTGTTTGTTTGATGGAATAGTGTGAGAAATAATGGGACGTCACTTCATAAAAACAAGGATGAGTAAAGGTGTAAGTCAAGCCGGGGCCGCTCATGGCCCGGCATGACCTAACACAATTTTGGCCCAGTCTGGCACGAAGAACCACGGGTCGTGTTGGGCCTAGTATGGAGGTCTGTGCCATGTTGGGTTGGGGGTTTGAGGCCCATGGGCCAGTACGGCACGGCCCACCACGGGTCGACACGGCACAGCTTGCGGGGCGGCCCGCTCGGAATATAGTCGTTGCCCCCCAAAGGGGCCCAACGGCTAGTTTCGGCCTTTTAGAGGGTTTTTTTACAAAAATACCCCCTAATAGCTATAAACAAACATATTATGGGGGGTATTTATGTATTTTTCTTATGGGGGTTGAAAAAATGACATTAATGCCTACCAACAGCTATATAACAACTAGTTTAGAGGGCTTTTTGGGTAAAGTTATAAATAACTTTTCAAGAACCAAAATACCTCTCCTAACAACTAAATAACAGATAGTTTTTTAGGCATTTTAGACAATAGAATTATATTCAATTCCTATAAATAGCCCTATCCTCTACCATTCTCATCACACCAATTCAACAATTCTCTTAATCTCCTCTCTCTCTCTCTCTCTCTCTCTCTCTCTCTCATACTCATACATTCTCAATTCTCTGCAATCTAAGTAGTTCTGATTAGCTCATTGTCTGATTCTACATTCTCCAATTCTTAAGTCTCAACTTTATTAAAGTTTCGACTTTCAACAAGAAAAAGGCTTGCTCAACCAGCTCAAGTATCTCAATTTGGGAGGCTTGGACGTTGAAAGGCTTCAACCATTGAAATCAAGTTGGGATTTTGAACCGGCAATCCGAATAAGTCGAATTAGATTAATTTTTATTTTTTTAGAATTAAAAAATGGCTGACTCTTCTGAAAACCGGTTCCCCAACATATTTACCATGGATGATATTCAATCGCATCATGATAATGTTAGCACTGATGCGATTGATGTCGATGGAAGTGAAACTTTCACCCCCAATACTGATACTAGAGGGAATTTTCAAAGTAGAGGATAATGAGGGGAAGGGGAAAATGGTCATTTGCCAAAAATGTAAGGACTTTAGTTATTGTAGCAAGGGTGGTATGGGTCATTTGATCAGGCATCTTCTCACACATGAGTGAGATTAATATGAAGGGAGAAAAACAACCTGAACATAGATTGGGAGGGGGAGTAGTTTTGGTACTTTTAAATATTTACAAGAAAAAATGAGACGAGAAATTGCTATGTATATTGTACATGCAGAACAACCATTTATATTAGCTGAATATCCAAAGCTAGAAAAATGGTTGCGTAGTTTTGTAAACCCACAATATAAAAAAGTTTCTAGGAATAATATAAGAACTGATGCTTTAAAAAATTTTTATTCATATAAACAAAATTTAATTTCTTTGTTAGAAAATCTTAATTCTAAAGTTGCAATTACTTCGGATGTTTGGACATCCAAATTTAATTTTAGTTATATTTGTGTTACCGGCCATTTCATTGATGAAAATTGACTTTTGAATAAAAGAATTTTAAGTTTTACTAGGCTAGAATGGCCACATAGTGGCCCATCTATTACTACAAGTATTTTAAATACTTTGCATACTTATGGAATAGAGAATAAATTATTTTCTATTAGTTTTGATAATGCCAACAATAATGATTCTGCAAGAAATATTTTAAAATCTCAATTAAAATCATGCTTAAATGGTAAATTATTTCATATTAGATATGCATATCACATCTTAAATTTATGTATTCAAGATGCCTTGAATATTATTTCTACTCATATTTCAAAAATTACAAATTATATTACATATATATAAAAGTTTAGGGGCAAGAAAACAAGAATTTAAATATTTATGTCAAAATTGTGGTTTGAAATATAAACATTTTATTTTAGATGCAAAGCATAGTTGGAATTCTACCTATATTATGTTAGAAAGTTGTGTATCTCATTAGGGCTGTTCATAAGAAGGCCCAACCCGACCAAACCGATCAACCCGGACCGACCCAACCCAAGTCGGCCGGGTTTTCATCAACACGGGTTGGTTTTTGGTTGTGCAAATTCCTAAACCGATGATTCGGGTCGGTTTCGGKTTTCACACAATAAAACCGAAACCGACCCGAACCGAACCGATTTAGTTCCTAGTTCAAACATGAAGTTCCAAAGCCCATTAGGCCACCTAGTTTTTGAATAGTTGCAAGAAACTTTGGATTAGTGAATAGTGATTAATGAACAACTTTTGTGATTAACTTTTCATTTAAATTTTATCATAGGAGATGGCTGAAATGATGCTCAATTTATGATTATTTTTAAAATTAGCAAGGTTTTATCACAGGGATGAACTTAGAACCCAAACCGATCCAAACCGACCCAACCCGACTCAAACCGACCAGGTCGGTTTTGCTTAACACTGGGTCGGTTTCGGTTTCTATGTCAGGTAACCCGACCAGGTCGGGTCGGTTGAAAAAACCGCAATAAACCGACCCAACCCAACCCGTGAACAAACCTATATCTCATAAACAAATTATTTTTTATTTTTATAATTTAAAATGCCTAATGATATGATATTTTAGGAAGATTGGGAAATGATAGTCTATATAAGAGATTTTTTAAAATATTTTTATGATGCAACTAATGAATTATCTGGAATTTATTATCCAATTAGTTGTAATTTACCTTATCATTTAATGGTAATTAGTGATTGTTTTGTAAAATATAGAAATAACCCACAATTTTAATGTATTGTTGAAATTATGGAAAATAAATTAAAAAAAAATATTGGGATAACATTTTCTCCCCTTTATTGTTTAGCTACAATATTAGACCCTAGGATTAGGAAAGATGGTTTAGATATTTTACTTGAATCATATTATGAAAATATGAATATTGATATAGGAAATAGAAAAATAAATTAATAATTTATTATTTGAAATGTACAGTTTGTATGAATTTGAAGTTGTAAGAAATATTCCTACAACTTGCTCATCATCTTCTTCTACTTCTGACCTTGAGCCCAGTAGTAGAAGAGAAAAACTTTTTTATTTAATAAGTAGAAGGTAGAAATCTGCTAATTTTACAACAAGTTCATTTACTGAACTTAATTTTTATTTACAAGCAAATTTTTCTAATTTAGGTGAAGGGTCAAATAATTTTGATATTTTAGCCTGGTAGAGTGAACATTCAAAAAATTATCTGGATCTTGCCGC